GCCAGTACAGCACACGCGTGCACACACACACACATTGTTATTGTTTGTGTATGCGTGTCCCCCCCTCAAAGCCTCACACAGTCCTGGGGAACAGAGAGGTTTTCAGATTTCCTTAAATTATTAAAGTTTCGAAGCCTATACAACTGAACATCAAGGTCTAGAGCCACATGAACTAGAGGGGTACTACTACAGTGCCAAGTGAGATATACATAAACAGTATTAAAACAATGGATTCTCAAATATTATCTTCCTTCCCTCCCTCTCTCTGTGGTGCTGGTAAGCAAACACAGGGCCTTGTGAATGTTAAGTACATGATCTAACAATGAGCTACATCGACAAGCCCATCATTTTTTCAAATATTATATTTCACAACAGTGATCTTACTCTAATTCCCTATTATGTACGTATCATTCAATTTTACATTTCAGAAGATACTGCTGTTTTCCAATGGGTATATACTCTGTATTTATTTTACATACCTGCTTCAGTTTTTCATCTGTGAGACAGTTAAGTTCAATAATAAACTCACTGTCTGTAGGGGAGATTTGAGCAGATGGATCAATGATTTTAATAATATCAAGTTGCTCCCGAAGACCCATTTCAGTACTAACTTTACGACTCAGATATTCAATATATTCCACCTATGTGATGAAAAATAACAAAAATATCAATGCTTAAATCTGTAATGCTTTGACATGTAAATTATAATGTGTTTTATTTATCAGAAGCATTTAACACTGCTATCTGCTAAAAACAGTTAAGCTCAAGTTCAGAATTACTAAGCAATCAACATTTACTCTGTAGATTTAAACAGGTAATAAAATGTGCTTCACATATTCTCCACACATTCCTTTGTCGGAGAGGGAATGGGGGCTCAAGCACAGGGCTTTGTACAAGCTAGGCTCTACCACTAAGCTGCACCTTCAGCCTCCATACAGATGCATTCACTTAATAATGTAGAGATCTTTACCTGCTCATCATTTGTCATTGCACTCCAAGGAAGCTCATCTAAATTCTGGTGCTTATTTTTCTTTTTTGGAAGCAGGCAAGGTGAACTTGGTATACTTGGTATGACATCAGAAAGTACATCACTCCCGCTGGCAATGTCACTGCCTGGTAACTATAAAAACATAAGGAGAGAAAAGGGTAGGCAAAGCAAAATTTTCCAAAATACTTTTTAAGTATCATAATACACTTCACATATTGCTTAAAAATTACTTGGATTGGAACCCAGAGCTTTTGCACTGACGTAAAGCCCAAGGCCCCTGTTTTTAAGTATTTTGCATTAGTACATAATGTAGTACATAGACTACACTCCTTGTGGGAAGTTGGTACATGTACTTAACACATCTTAATTTTTAACACCCTTTCCCCTTCCTTCTGCCTTCCCTTCATCTCTTGATCCCCTTTCCAGCTGAACAAAATCTATCTCCCTACATCTTATTACCTATCTTTTATTTTGCTCTTTATTCAATGTTTTGTGTTTCTCATGTAAGAAAAATCTGATTAACTTTAGAGAACAGGGCCTTCCTAAGTCACAAAGTTGCCTAGTCTGGGCTAGAACATGTGCCCTTCATGCCTCTTCCCAGAGAGCTGGGATCAGAGGCATGTACCATCATAAGTGAAATACAATCAAGATTTTTTAAAATGCTACCGAAGACACAATTGTTATAAAGTTTGTAATTTACGTACAATATTACTAGGGCCACGGAGCATAAGAAAGAAGTCCTGGTCTCTAACTTGAGAGGCCTTAGGGATATGCTGTTAACTGGCTTTTCTCACTGTGCTGGATATACTGCCAATATAAAGACGAATCACACTTCTTCTCTTCAAGTTCATATTAACCTCAAGACAACTACAATAATTTAAGACATATTGTAGATATAACACTCCAAAGATCACAAGATTATGACAACAAAATATAAAAGACAATGAAGAAATAAAAACTAGGCTAACACACAAAATCAAATCAGTTGAGAATGAGACAAACATCAATGCATGCTATTTTATATTGCCTACTAAAAAAGAATGGGTTTCATTTTTAAAAGCTTTATTGAGATATATCTGATAAGCAAAAAAAATTAATGTTTGAAAATTGATGTCTTTGGACACAGGCAAATACCTGTGAATCTACAACCACAATTAAAAAGAGAATCATAATTGTTATTGTTTGTGTATGCGTGTCCCCCCCTCAAAGCCTCACACAGTCCTGGGGAACAGAGAGGTTTTCAGATGCAGCTGAATCTGGTGTTTGTGACTGATTCATGATCTAAGGAACATACAGTTCTATCATTCTCTCTCTTCTCTTCTGCTTTTGCCTCCATGAACGGATGGCCCTCTGCCATGCACCACCCTGCCTTTGAGCTGGCCAGTTATGGACTGAAAGCTCTACAAACTGTGAGCCAAATAATCCTTTCCTCCTTTAATTTAGCGTGTCGGGTATTTAGTCTTAGCAACCAGAGAAAAGTTAGAATGGATTGTAATTTAAATAAATATACTTAAAATATTAATTACAAAATAAAATCTTTTCTCCTAAAGGAGCACTTAACAGCTTTCAAAGACACAGCTTCTTTGTCTTAGTTAGTTTCTCACCATTAAAACACAGTATCTGATACCCACAAATGTAATTAAGGCAGGCTTATTTGGCTCCCAGTTTGTAGAGGTTTCAGTTCATAGTCAGCTAGCTCCAAGGAAGGAGAGCATGGCTGAGAAGCATGGCAGAGGAGGAAGTGCTCATGGGATGGTGGTCAGAAGCAGAAAGATCAAGGGAGGTGGGGAGGCGGTAAACAAGGCCATGCCGATAGTGACCCACTTCCTGAAACCATACCTAGCCTCCTTACATCACAGCTAGCCAAGCATCATGCCTGCAAGATCCAGTCACCTCCAAAAAGTCCCACCTCCAAATGAGAATTTGGAGGGACATCTAGATATAAAATATAACTGATACATTAAAATATATTTTATATATTTTATTTTATTTTTTTCTCTTGCTTTCTTTTTTTTTCTTTTCAAAGTTTTATTGATAAACATATAGCAATGAGACAGTTTCAAATCAAATCGAAAGTACAGTTTCAACAAATAATACACTGCATATATTCTTCTTAGTGGTTAACTGCTGTTATTTTATATAAAATATAAAACTTTTGGAGACTCTGGTCCCCGAAAGACCCATGTGCACTGGCTTATGCAAAATGTATTTAGTCCACCTTTATGAGTTACCAAAGTCCTAAAAGTGTCAGCATTGCTGAAAAATCCAAGTCCAAAGCCTCCTTCGATATTTAAAGCAACTCCTAGCTGTGAGTCCCTGTAAAAATTTGAAGAGTTAAATACTACTGACATACAACAGCACAGAATAAATAAAACATTCCTATTCCAAAAAGTAGAAATAGCATGATAGAAAGGAATTTAAAAAAAAAGAAGAGCAGAATCTAGCAGGGCAAACATTAAATCCCATGTCCAATACTCTGGCAATCTGTGGTGAGATGTGAACTCCAAGGGGCTTGGACACCACCACCCCTGCAGCATTACCGATGGTGACTCCTCTCTTGGATCACTCCTCGTAGCTTCCTCCCAGGGTCCATGTTCCCGGCTTTCTCAACATTCATTCACTATCACAGCTTCCCACTGCCCACTGAGGGGCACACTGCTTTGCCTCCCAGGTCTTCTTCTGAAATCTGAGACACAGTTTCCCTGATCCCATACCTCTTGCACTTTGCATCACGTAAAACGAATACCTATGGATGACACCAAGTTCTGCTGTCAGCTGGAGCAGTAGCTGAACCCTCTTAATATCTTGCTGGTATTTGGGAAGGCCTCTCTCTGAGTTCCTGAATGGCTATGCATGATGAATTGAATCCTAGGGAATCAATTTCCACTCCCAGGCTGCCACCACTGTGGAGCATGCTGCCCAGGGGCTCTCTTCTCAAGTCTAATATTTTTAGCCACCACACTTTCCTCTGCTCCATCTTTACAGGTCCCAACTATATATGAACTTTTCTGGCTAAACTCAAAATCATTGTGGGGCTACTGCATCTTAATTTTCAATGTAGATCTGGCTAAACTTCTCCAATACTCAATACTCCAGCCACAGCCTGAATACTTAGGTGCCTTGGAAATCTCCTCTACCAGATTATTCTGTTGCTCTCTTAATCTCAGTCAACCATAGTTTCAGGGCATGAGGAAAATGGACACAAATTTTCTGCCAGTACAGCACACGCGTGCACACACACACACACACACACACACACAGAGTCTGGAATCCAAATGCCACTGGAGTTATTCCCAGCTGAAACGTCTTGAGCTTGGTCTTTACTGACGCAATACTGTCAACATTCTGGTCCTCAAAGTTCCAACCAGAATCTCTTACCAAGCATGGCTCACAGCATTCTAGGGCTACTTCTCCAGGTGGCATTTCCAAACCTTTCCAAACTCCTCCTGTAAGCCAGTTCCAAAGGCCTCTGAACCACATGTCAGGTAGTGTCACAGCAATGGCCCCATTTCCCTGCTACCAAAATCTGTCTCTTAGTTACAGTTCTGCTACTGAGACACAATGCCTAACACCCATGACTTAAAGGAGAAAAGGTTTATAGTGGCTCACATTTGTAGGTTTCAGTCCATAGCTGACTGGCTGCAAGATAGGGTAGCATGGAAGAGTGCTATGAAGGAACCCCCCCCCAAAAAAAACCCAGGATCAATTACTATACAAGGTGACCATGGCATTCAAAATTAAACTGACTAAATTAGAGACCATTAATTCCACAACCCTTCAAGCAGCTACTACTCTTAAAAACCACATCTTCACCATGTTATTGGTGAATCCAAGTATGCAAGTAACTTCTAACAATCTGTATGATTTCATTTTAAAAATCTCATTAACTAATGCTGCTTAAATTGTTCATTTTTGGTCCAAATATTATTAAGTCAGTGTTGTAAAAGTCATTGCCAAATGCACACTTAAAAGCCATTGCTTTTCTAGTCTTTGGTGGCGAAGAGGAAAGGTTCTGCTATTTTATTACTACATTAGTGACTTAATGTATATTAAGAGGCCCTGGGTTCAATCCCCAGTACCACTAACCAAAGATAAAAACATGTATTTTCAAAATATAAGAAAAATA